AGTAGGAGGAAAGAAAACCCTCATCCCTAAACTCCAAGCCTCCAAGGGGAGGAGTCCGCAAACGGACTGGCGGAGCTTGGATGTCTGGATTTGGTGCCCCAGCCGGGGGTTTGGTTTAGGGTTTAGGCTTTGGGAGGTTCATTTGCATGGGGGCGTTCCATGGCATCAGGGCTGCTTCAACTGTACAAGCGGTTCGGCCCTTTACGTGTCCATCTCACAAAAGGAGGGCTGCAAAGCAGATCTCATCACACAAGAGTTGTTGCTGCGGAGGTATTTGAGACGCTGGAGGCCTGTGTCGGGAAAGCATGGTTGACGGTGTGTTTAGGGTTCAGGGTTTGTCCTGCGGGAGAGCAATGGCACACTGATTGGCGTGTGCATAGAGATTTTGTTGCGAGTGTCCAATGTGCCCCCTCAGGAGCACTGTTCCATACTAAGCAAGGAACAGGAGGGCTCAAGACCTCGTTTCGATTTGGCGCTTTCCACTTACATTCCTCAAACCCGAATTGCAAGGGATTGTGCAGATCGGAGAAAGCCGACTTACTGCACGTGCGAAAGGGTTCCGCGAGCGGAGGACGAAGGAGTCGCTTGTATTGGAATTACAAGGGACCGTGCCGATCGTACGAACCCTGAGAGGGTTGCCTTTCGGGATGCAGACGGCGCACGGAACCTGCGCCATATCACACCCTGAAAGATCCACATAGCCAGCGGTACTAAGTACATTCGCTATTCTCATGAGCCAGTGCAAGCGCCGAGCATCATCCTCGCAGGCTCACCCTGAGGATGCAGACATCGCTTGGTGGGCGTTTCTGGCACTGCAGAACCTGACCTGCGGCTTCTAAGCTTGCAAACGAAAATACAAGTCAGGTTGAGTTGTTCCACAGACCACTTGAACCAGTCTCTCTATGCACTGCAAATCCTTCACGTCATAAACTGCACGTTTCGCACACCACGTGGTTGTTCAGGGCCACGACGCCCCGACGCTCCCCAAGACAAACTCTAGGTATTTCTAGATCCAGGTGCTTTGAGACTCTTACACCCGTAAGTCACAGCATCAGTCCTATGTGTCATTGTCAGTCTTATCAGGGTCATCATTATCGATGGCGCTTATTGCTACTGCTAGTGGTATATTGCAACTGATTATTGTTGCTATTGATACCGCGATTTGTTACTTCGAGCCTGACGATAGGGGGGGCAGATCGCCAAGGCACCTCGGAGGCTGCGCGCGCACGGCGAGAGAGCGCCGTCGCTCTGGGCTGGCTGCCGCGGATGATGCGGCATATGGAGGTTCGGTGTTTGGGAAGCGTTCCATTCAGTGTTGCATATCGAGGTGGTGGGGCTGCACAGTACAGGGGTGTCGGGTGTGGGGGTGCAGGGGTTTACGTTGGGTTTTTTAGGGGCACATCTTGGAGTCTCGCGGGTGTTGGCCTTAGCACGGGCTCAAGCAAGGTCACCTCGTGAATCTTTATGCCCTGAACCCAGATCTCAGTCGAAAATGTTCTTCCAAACGCATCCCCACGGGCTTTTGGGGAAATTACGCGGATCCATATAAGGACAGAAGAACAGGGCTTCCTCCAAACCCGAGGCCCCAGTTCCTACAGCGACCTACAGCCGCAAAGCCTTGAAGCCCCGAACCCTCCAGGCTTCAACCCCAACCCCCCCCCTCCCCTCCCCTCCCCGAAGCCCCAACGCCGATAAATCCTGGAATCTCGCCAAAACCTGGGAGGCTGAGCCTTTTGATCCGCCTCCGAGTCCGATCCTGGACGAAGATCAGACTTACATGTGCTATAGTAGGGTTTAGGGTTACGTACATATGTTATGAATCATAACAGGTAATATGAGACGATTGCATGCTGTCACTGCGCTGGCGGTAGTAAGGTTAGGAACAAGACGAATAGTCAAAATAAGTGTGTATCAATAGCAATGGGATAGAATCGAATAGGATAGGATAGGATTGTACCACAGTAGCATGCTGTGTTGCAGGCTGCTACTATAGTCTACTCTCGCACAGTCTAGAGTGTAATAAACACGCCGGATACGGTAGTACAGTGTGGTGTGTCGGGTGCTATAGTATAGTCAAGCATGGCGCAATGCAGAGTCCCTGTAAAGCATGCACTCTCACAGTTTTATGTTGCTTTGTGCTGCGACTGCTTCCGCTTCAGGTCGCTTAGTCATGAGACCCTATAGGCCCTAATCCCCGAAATCAAAACCGAAACTCCCAAGCCAATAAGGAACGCAACAGAATTGGAGTAAGAGGCTCCTTTTGGCAATGCAGGCCTGTACAGTAGGATCTTATCTGCGACGTGTGCTAAATACTACGGCCGGAGGAGACTGTGCCAGCGTCGCCCGTATTGTTCGAGTTTTGAGAGTCCAAGCTCACGATTTGGGCTCCAAGCTTACAGCTTCTGGGATTGAGGGTTCATGCCTTCTAGCCTTCTAGGTGTTAGGGCAGTCTTAGGGTCTACTTGAGTGCGAGCATGCCGCAGTCGCCCCGGTCGTTGATGCCAGAAGAGGTGCATGTCTTAGTGAATGTCGTGGTGCCGAGCAGGTTTTACACCAGTGCAATGCCTCCACAACTTTGTGGTTGGGGGTTTGGGACCTTGTCATGGTAGACCCAGGCCATGCCTCCGGTAAGGTAAAACACCGCCCAGTGTTCCAACATCTTCCTGAGCAAAGCTCACTTTTCCGAACCTTTCGGCCTGACTCCCAACTCCCCGCAAGTCCTTGCTTTAGAAAACAGCCGTGCAAGCAGGTCTAGCACTTGGCAGAGCAGCGGGTAAAGCAAGAGCAAGCCCCGCATAAAATCCGAGAAGCCACTAAACTCCACATACGGCTCCTGTAAGCCCTACGTACTGTATACCCTTAAATGCTATGTCAAGACGGAATCCCCTGAAGCCTTCGAGGAAGTCCCAGGGTAGCGGCCAGCAGTCACCCAAGTCCGTGCTGAGCCGGATGTCCAGCTCCTGGCGTCCGAAATTCATACAGGGGTCGGAAGGATTAGCAATGAGAACCCCTTAAGAAAGCCTTCAATATGCAGTAACTGTTAAGGGTACCTATGAGGTTTCTATGTCTCTGGGGGTCTGAAGGGCTTCCATATGAACACTTTTAACAGGAGCGGGCTTTTGCAAGAGAGGTAGCTTGTTAGTTGAGTTGTCTTTTTTTCGGAGGGCAGGGAGTGGGGACGGGGGTGTTTGGGAAGGAAAGTTGGGGTAAGATCATCTAACCGATAGTTCCGGCCTTATCCACTCTGCCATGGTAGCGATGATTATGATGTCTAAAAGACATTGTCATCAGGATCAAAGGATAGTTCATCGGTTGCGCTGGGTCACGAGATGCAGTAGGGTTTAACCTGACACTTCACCTGAGTGCGTATGCTGGTCTCCTTGAGGAAGACTTGGTGAGTGTATATGTACAGATTGGGGTTTCCTTTTGATGATACTGGAGAGTATAATCAACCCCGGTCTTCCCACGGGAGTTTGAGAATAGTCGCAGGATGCAAACGGTCCCTTGCCTTCATAGTAGCATCATTTATGTAGGGCCGAGAGCCCTGAAACCCAAAGCCTCATTCCTCTGCCCCGCTAGCGACGAAAGCAAAAACACGTCCCATATCTTCTTAGCTTCCTGGAAACCCTGCAGTAAACCCCAAGAAGTTGAAAGCCGAATAAAGGACAGTTGGTGCTGGGGCTTCCCTGTGCATTACCTATAGTCTCCATTGTAGTTCCTTTTTTTGGTTTAAGCACTTGTATATTAAGGATTTTATACGGTATTTTCAAAAAGGAACTACAATGGAGACTATAGGTAGTGCTGGGGCTTCCCTGTGCGTTACTCTTAAGGATTGAGGCTATTGGGTTTCCAACTCTTGGGGTTCTACTGCACCTTAAGAACCCAAAACCCACTTTCTTGTAGGTTCTTATTATAAACCCTAATATGGGATTTATAGGGGCCCTACAAAAAGTAGGTTTTGGGGTCTTAAGGTAAACCCTGAACCCACTGAGGTACCCGATCTTTGCTCTCAGCGGCCTCGGGGGCGAAGCTCCTTGGATATTTCTGCAAGAGGGTGCCAGAAGGGGCTAAGGATCTCGGGTTTAGGAGGTTAAGATTTCTGGTGGGCCGTGGGGGGTCAGAGTTTGAGGCTTAGGGATGCCGGGAGACTCCCCAGATGTTGGCATTCAGATGCGATCATCTTGAAGAGTGAAGCCCCGCAAGCTGAGTGGAGCAGGTGGGGCATCTATTTCACTTCGTTGCAGGTCCAGGGTCTGAAGGAAGCCTTGAAGCTGACAACGAAGCAATCACTGACCCCCTCTGTCGGACATCTTGGGAGACGATATACGGCTTGAGCTAAAGGCATGAGATGACTGATGATGCCACATCTGCAGGAAACAGAAGAACCACACTCGTCTCGAGATGATCTTTGTCGCCTCGGTGCACTGCATCTGCAGTTCCATGGCCGAGGCTCCGCCATCTTTTCGAGGGCAGTGTAGGGAGAGGCGAACATGTGTAGGGAGAGGCGAACATGTAGGCATGTAGCTAAGTTCCGGCGGGAAATCTCAGGTGCCCGGTGCCCAGGATGCAATGAAGTGCGCATGATGCAATCTCAAGCCCCCAAATCCCCCACAACAACCTACCGACAGACCCGTCAACTCTCCTAAGAATTTGAAGTTGCAAAGGTCCCAAGTCCCTGAGATGCAAAGCCCTAAACTTCTCAACTCGGAACCTATGAAGCCATGCCTGTGCGTGAGTCGAAACTCCTTTGTGGCAACTCAGTGCGAAGGTTTTCGAAGTCGCGACTGATTTATTTCTTGAGCAGTCGGACAGTCTTGGAGTGTCTCACCTCAACCGACTACGCAACAATAACCTGGATTGTCCGAGCGTGAGCGCCGAAGCCCTCCACTTCTCCAAGCATTATCTCACTTCGAAACAGACCTCGAACCATGTGCCTCGCCTTGTCGGTCCGAGTGTGAGCGCCGAAAAATCGCAGGCAGGTTTGGATAGTCTCCTTGCCGATGAGATCCTCAACTTGTGCCTTGCACTGAAAGTATGCATCTGAGTCTTCACAAAGCTCTAATATCTTATGGGTTGCAATCTTAAGGTTTGGAACCTGGGTTGTCGTAGCCCAAGATGAAGCTTGTACCGGATTTGAGGTTAGGAGTTTACTTGGAGGAGGGATGTCATAGCACTGCCGAAGTGCAGCCAGGGGTCCCGTCTACCCAGTGCCGAACTCAGGCTTTTCGTCGCCTTGGATGCAACTGCTTTTCCACTGGAAGCACGCGAGAGGGCGTGTCTGCTGCTGTGCTATTTCGCCAATTTCTCGGAGAAGGCACATTGGGCGCAAAGCGGGTACCGCATCTCATTGCCGACATTCAGAGTTTATAGGGTTAAGGGTTTAAGATCGCGTGGAGCGAGGCAGCGGTCCTGGCGTGACGTTGCACGCCGGTTGAAAAAAGGGTTTACGTAAGATAGAGCAAAATCACTTTGATCAGTCAAGCTGCCCTGAAGATAGCTCTCGCACACAAGGTCGCAACGGCGATCTCCCGTGGTGGATCGCCACTTTGGCAGTCGATGCTGACCACCCTCAAGGACCACGTAGACTGGATGTGGGAGCATGTCGAAGGAACTGAGTTTAAGTAGATGTGGATGTTGTGGTTTGTCCCACATCGCGGCAAGACTTTCCCGCGTCCCTTGTGGTTCTGTAGCGCGACACGCTCTAAGTTGTCAGTCTCAAACCACACTTGTCCAGAGAGCAACATTCTCGAGCGAAGAAGGACGACCCAAAATAGCACGTGAGAGCGAAGCTTGCAAGGGTATTTGTTTCATGTTGGTCTGAGTGCTGGTAAGTTCTTTGGGTAGGAAGTTGCGCCAGACAACCTTGCCAGATTTGGGACGCACGTGCCCACAAACATCATTCACACTCAAGGCAAACAGGAGTGAATATAGCCGGAGACAAGAGTTGCGGCAGTACAAGTCCGACACGACTGGGACTTGTGGAGAGAGGATCGGAGTAAGGCTGGAGTCCTGCTGCATGCGGCTCATAAGACCTCAACGGGAGCAATGGAGGGGTAGCAAGCCGCAAATGGAAAGCTACAATATCTGAGCGAGCCCAACTAGCCCGAGCAATCCATGTTTTCGAGCAGGGCGGCCTTGCAGCCGATTAGCCTTGGAATGAAACGGGGAGACATCCTTTCTCGTTTATCACTATCGTACATACCCACTCGTCGGCTCTTGACCGGGCTCTGGGCAGATAAGCAGGTATCGCACAAAAGCAGCAAAGTTTCGTGGATTTCACCGCTTTCGATTCAGACCTTCATCGACCCAGGTGCTCTGCTAAGCCGCTGAACCCCGCTGACACATGAAACTCGCTGCCAGCACCTACTCGCTAGCCCATCTCGTTCGAGGACCACTTGGCAGCTGCTGAGGCGCGTCTCGTGGATATTGCCCCTTGTTCCTCGTGGAGCTTGTGGGACTCATGTAGCAGAGCCAAGATGCACCAAGTGAAGATCAAAGTCAATGCCCTAAACCGAAACCCTAAACCCTAAACCCTAAAAACCCTTATAGAACCCCGGACACTTGCCACACCCGCCAGCTCAACATCTCTCCCGTGTCACAGGCCGAAGAGAAGGAGCCTTGGTGGCTTATATAGCATAATATAGGGGCCTAAGTCTAAGTAATTACCATTACTATTGGGGGTTCCTTATTGTCACTATAGTAAAATGGGCCCCAAAACCCTATTCTAATTATGAAGGCACCTGCATTATTCATGCAAGCTTCGCGCCGTTCTACGTTTTGCTCCGCCCATTCGCTTCTGAGAGCCATTGCAATCAGTTCGGGCCTTTCAATCTTGAAGTTCTAGCTATATACTATCACATTTCCTACAAGCTATTAATGGTATATTCGTTGTGTGTGTGTGTGAGCTTGAAGTTACTGCGAGTTATGCATACTGGCACTGAATTCGAGACCTTTGCTGGTATGGAATCTGTTCTCGCCGGGTGTGCTGGGATCACAAGAGCAAGCCTCTTTTCGAGGAGTTCGGCGATATGGAGAAAACTGTAGACGAAATTCTGCTGGACCTGCCGGTGCCCGGGGAGGCGAGATACGGTGTAGGGTGCAAGGTTTGCAAGTTTGTAGTCCTGGCATATGTGCGCCGAGCTGGGTTGCTGAGGCTACAAGTTCAGTCAGTGGCTTTCAACAGTTGGGGTTGCGAACCTTGGACAGGTGCAGCATCTGATTCATCCCCTGCAAAGGGACTGGAAGCTTGGTAAGCCACCTGTGGTTCATGTTCTGTTCTACTGACCAGTGACCAGTACCTTTACTGTCTCACGAGAACTACCTATAGTCTCCATTGTAGTTCCTTTTTTTGGTTTAACCAAATATATAATAAGGATTCTATAAAGTATCCCCCAAAAGGAACTACAATGGAGACTATAGGTAACTCCTACCCGCCCTTTGCACGGAGGATGTGGAGAGCTGCTGGTTGCGTGCGCAGAGCGTGAGCCGACCTGGATTGCTCTTGGAGGCCTGGTGCTTTCGCGGACGCCTTTATGTTCCTTAGTGCCTTCATGGTATGCCCTAACCGCCCAGGTACCTACTATATAGGGTACTAGAGCCCCCAGGGCCCGATATACTAGGTACCTGGGGGGGTTAGGGATGCAGACTTGAAGCTCAGGTGCCAATGAACGTCTCAGATTTCCAACCTCCCCCAGACTCCCATGCCAAGGCGATGCGGGCTTTGCCTTATGAGACGCGAATCCAGGTCACTGGCTGCTCCTTGACTTAGCTTCTGGCCTTCAGCGATGAGCCATATTTAAAGTTCGCTGCTGTAGTCGAGCATCCTCGTGCGTAGACCTTGATCGCTTCTGATGCATGCGTTTGTACATCCCTCCGGCAAGAAGTGTGGCGATCCTGTGCCTTCATAGAATCCGGAATTTCTGAAGCATTGCTGGCATCCGACATGAGTCATTGTGCAAGAAGAGGCCACGACAAAACCCTGCAGAAAAGGTACTGCCTGGCGCAAGATGGCGCTGATGGCCGCCGTGGACCGTGGTCGCGACAGGGAGGCTTGACAACTTGAACCCAGTTGATAACAATCACTGCCATCTCGTGACCTATCGATCATCACGTCACATTCCCTCGCAGGATCTGCTGCTGCAGGATAACATCAAACTGCCGACAAACCCTGTAAAATCATGTCCACACTCTTACACCTTCGTTGCAGCGGATTCCGCATGTGTGGATTCTGTCATATGAGGTGTGGATTAGTAGCCCAATGCAGCCAGCATGGAGTGTGACAGGTTCGGGGTTCGGCGTGCATGGGCGCGAGGGTAAGGGGTTGAGACAAGGAAGAAATCCGCCGAAACTGCAGCCAACTTTCCAAATGCCCAAGGGCTATTGATCAAGGGCGATTTCTGGTCGGGCTCCTTCTTCTGCAACCCACGACAGGAAAGACCGGTGAGACTGCTGATCAGGATGACACCCTGCACGAACAGCGTTTACCATTGAAGGGGATTTCGGGCCTGAAGTGATTCTGTGGGTTTGGTCCAAAAGAGGGACGGAGGTTCACGACTGGCTCGACCGAACACTGTCAATTGGACTGGCAGAAATCGAAATTGATGCACAAGTATAAAAGCTTTGTCCTCCAGAATCTCGAGCACCAAGTCACTACCTATGGCCGTTGCACTTTATGTTGGATGTTTTCAGATTATCGGCAGAAGTCTTCCAGTTATCGCAGGCCGTGGTCGCCGGTCTCCCCATTGCAGTGCCTCGGAACCGCGAAGCAGAGGAAGCATGGGGGAGGTGGTAGGAAATAGTTCATCCTGCAGGGATGGTGTACAACAAACCGGTGCTGAACTTGACTTTCCCATTGCTGCAAGGTACCTGTTGCTCCAGGAATTATATATATATATATACACACACACACAATTACGTATGTTGGGGTGAGGAGACTCCGGTTCGAATCCTCTGTAGCACTTGCACCTCGCCTTGTAAGGCACAGGCGGCCGTTGAAGCTTCCAAGCCTGATCCCAGTAGTTGGAGTATGGGTTTAGGCTTTATTTTTTCGGGTTTAGGATTTAGGGGGTCCCTGAGGCGTCTTCGAATTCATGAAGACGGAAGCCCTACCTTAGCGCGCAGGAAAGGAGCAGCCTTCCAAAGACTCTGACAGAGCTTGGCTAAACGAGGCCAATTCCTGCCATCTTAAAGAATTTAACTCAAGCGGCCTCCATAGCTCATCAGACATGCCATGACACACCGCAACTCACATGGCCTAAAGCCCTAAACCCTAAACCGTGGCTCCCTGTGAACTGTGAACTATGAACCATCCTCGCCGGCGTTGCCCGAGTCGCGAGAGTCTAAACCGTGGCTCTGCAGACTGCCGCCATAGGTGGAGCTTGCTGTCGCAGCACTCCGCGGCCACGAGCGCAGCGCTGAGGCTCAGCAGCGGGCCACCATGGCACTGCAGGCCCCCCCACCGAGTCATATCTACCCATAGAGTCCATTGTAGGGTTTAGGGTTTAGGGTTTCCTTTCTGGTTTAACCCATTTTATAGTTAGGATCTTACGAGGTGGCCTTAAAAAGGAACTATAATGGAGACTATAGGTACTTCGGGCTCAAAGAGTTCAGAGCGACCGAAGGCTCACAGGCCGTATCCTGAATGAAGGGTTTGGGGCGAGCTTCATGGTACAATGGGATCAGTAGCAGTACAGCAAGAAGGCTTGTGTTCAGAAGGCCAGGGTTGAGACTAATCCTCATAGAGTTGGTCTGGTGAACTCAGGCCTTTGTTATGCATCTGTTTGGGACAGTCCTGCATGAGCGAGATCGTACTGAAAAGCATTCTCCCTGGCCCCTCAATGTACACAAAAGTGTTTCATGATCTTCAGACCATCCCCTCGACTGAAGAGTCGTTCTGTCATGCATGTCCCGGTACAGCCCACGCTTCCGACCTTGAGCGAGAGACAGTGCTGCCTTCAGAGTATGCCGTGCAATTGGCTTCTGCTTTCGGGCCATGAAATGACACCCAGCACTAGCTGAAGCTATCATGAGGCCTTGCTGCGGCTCTCGACAGCTTCTGGCGGGGAAGGTGAGGATGCAGCCAACGCGCGGCTGGCTTCGTGGCAGAATGTGCATGGCTGTAGAGTCGTGGATTATTCAAGATACTTGGAGGATTATGGGACTTAGTAAGTAAGGTTATAAGTCCCTTAGTCGGGGTTATAAGTATAGTTACCCTAATTATAACCCTACTTACTAAGTCCCATGATCCTTTAAGTATCTGTCATCAGGTCCAGCCTTGCTTTTTCAGGCTCCAACCCTACCAACACAGACTGATTCTGGTTGCTTCTGCCGTTGCGACCGAGCGAAGCTCGCCTTGAAAGTCAGAAGATCCTCCTGCAAATTTGACTGACATCGTCGGTGCCAGGTCACATGATGTGGCCAAAGCTGTCGTATTATAGTAGCTGTTTGCGTCCGCTTTGAGGTCAGTCTTGGAGCTGTCCCATTGCTGGCGCGTGCTCTTGAGAACTACCCGGATGATCCAGAACTGCAGGTGCTCTCGACTTCGGGGCTGCGTAAAGTCTGCTG